TTTACAAAATATTTCTTTACTCGCTAGTAATTTAATTCATGCAATTGATTAGATAAGTTTTATTGAATTATCTCTTACACTGTCTTATAGGTAAATTTTCCTGAAATTACTAGACAGCATAAGGGATAAGTAAATTTCATATAATAGATATTCAAACTCGAACATGTTCGTGAACTTTCGAACTGAACTTCAGACTGAACCAGACCTGCCTAAAAAGTTTGGAATCAAACTCAGACCGAACATTGGTTTTAAAAAAGTTCGAGTCCAGGTTCAGTTCGAAAACCGAACCGAACTCGAACTTGCCCAAAAGTTCGGTCCGGTCCGGTTCGTAGAGTCACTAATTAGGAGGTTAAGTTCATAACTGCACTAACTACCTAACTAGACGAGCAGGTGCTCTGATGAAGTTGCAAATTTATGAACTTAATTTAAGGCTCTAATCTTTGTACTGGAAAAAATTCTTAACTTCTTTCTGAATCTTTAGGCCGTAGTTTCTTCCAGATTTAAATATTAGAAACCAGCGCCAAGGTGCACATACTCTCATTATGGTTTTAGGTTGGATTCATTGTTAGTTAAATATAAGAAATTTACTAGTTTACAGGAGTTAGCTTCGCTTAATTAGTTATTTCTTATAGGAAACTTGTATTTGGTATAGTTTACTTCTTTTTTTTTTTTTTTCCCCGGTCTATTGCTGAAACCTCAACGTGGCGATCGGGTGAACGAATTTTTTCAAAATTCGGCCAGATCAGCTTTAAATAAGTATAATAAAGTTTATAAACCTTTTTTTTTGGAGAATCTAATAATTTAAAAGTTTATTCGAAATAATTTAATTAAAAATTTAAAACGTTAGTCTATAACATGTTACAGTAATTATGTTACAAAAAATTAAACTGAAATAGTCACAGCAGAAAGTAATGCCCGATTTTTCAATGCAAAGATCGTGCCTTACTTTCTGCAAACCCATGGGAAGAATCTCTACCATAAATCCTATAAATCGGGATTAAATATGATTGCAGATACTATAAATAAATCTATCTTTATAAAATTAAAAATGTGTTACTTTTTGTGAACTATCGTATATGCAATACTAATAAAAATACATAGAACACCTACCAAAAAAAGTATTTTTTTTCTTAATCTATCCCTCGCATTGATAATTCCATTATTACATTTATAATTATACCTATTGTATAAACTGAAATTAAATAATATCCCCAAGCGCGGAACATATGATATTCGTTTCGAGGCAGGTATGTTGGTTCAACACTAATTTTGTAAGGAACCCAAGTTTTGGTTGTCACATAAGCACCACTCAAGCCAATGCCTAAAGAATATCTACATTATGAACCGTATGAATAAATGTAAAAAAAATGTTAAGATCATCATGATTGCTTATAAGAGTATTCAATGCCTACAAATATTATATAGGTCTATGCAGTTAACATACTAA